TATGGCTGAGGCAGGCGGTTCTAAAGAGTTGTTGGTTACCGTGGTAACAGACACTTAAGTTTCAGCTTCAAATGCCCCTTTTAATGAGGCAATTTTAAGAATATTCATGATAAATTGCCAGACCACAAACTTGACTGTGGGAAGTTTTGCTGTGGAGAATCTAATAAGAAGAAAGCAGAAAGAATGAGCAGCAAGTGAAGGAGAGAAAATGGGGCCAGATTTGGAAGGGTGAATGGAAGGATTGCCAGCTCTGACTACCAAAAGCCAAATCAGAATCAATTCAAACTAGTGTTTTAAATTATAGATTGTCATTGAAGGGCTACAACCAGATGGAGCCAAGATTCCTGGGGAGGAAGAACGGTGGAGTGAGGGGCACAGAGGACAAGAGTTGAATGTGTCCTGCAGAAGGCTGTGCATTTTAAAGAGCTTCCATTTTCTATTTTATTCCTGACTGGGGCGGCTCAACGTAAGCAACAATCTTCCTTTTGTTTCTCCATTTCTCCATTTATGAAACCAAGAGACACTGCAATCTGGAGAGAACACAATTAACCAGAATGTGGCACTTGGCATAAATGAATTTTCATAGCAACCTAGGTTATCCCCAAACCCCAAAGACACAGCAGTCCCAATAATGTTCCAGGATTCTTTTCTTAATCTCTTATCTAGTCGACCCACTACAAATTTCACTGAAAAATCAGAAGACTTTAATACATTGCTACACTATTACATGGAAAGAAACCTATCATAATTACCCGAAAGAAAACGTGTCAGTAATCCTTGTTATGCTTCAGTAGAAAAGCATGCCTCCTCTGGGTAGGATAGCTTAATTTTATACGTGGTCAAAGGAAGGCAAGAAGATAACCTAAAAGGGCTTTCACAGACACTTTAAGTTTCTGGCCGAGCTCCTTAGGTCCCTACAGGAACGTCTTACTCTTGCTGCTCACAGAAAGCACCAGGGAACAGATGCATTACAGTTTGTGACAGGAGAACAGCCTGTGGATTCCGCCTACTCCCTCCAGTCCATCTGGGAGGTGGGTGAGACAGGGAGCCCACAGAGAGGGGGGCTCTCCTGGGAATCCCTTGGGGTATCATGGCTATTGGTGCTTTATTTTCAGTAGATGGCACTGTGTCTATTGAGATAAGCAAAAGGAGAGTCTAGATGGGAAATCTAATTGTTTCTAGAGAAAGCACACTGCATGTAAGAATGCATTTTTTTTTAATTTAGTAACATGATAACAGGAATACTATTCAGTATTCATGTTAGCACCCTCTTTGGAGCCTAAGGAACTTCATGATTTATTATTCTGGCTCAGATGCAGGGCTGTGGTCGAGCCCAGGGCCAAGCTGTGAGGGATAGAGTTGGGATAAGAATAAATCATGCTGAATGTTCAACCATTTTATCACCCAAACACATATATCGGAACCTGTACTCCATCTATCCTCTGGATCCCCACCCTTTACCCCAAAAAGGAAATTCTGACATCTCCTTTTCTACCCAGCCCATGGGAATTCCCACCCCCACCCCCGAGTCAAAGCAACCAGAACAGTTTCTTGTACATTGTTAGTCCTGTGTGGCAGATACTATTACTTGCCCATTAACCATTTTCCTTTCTAATCCACAGTCCATTAATTTTTTCTCTCTTCTGAGTGCTTTTGGAAAAGTAGACCCTGGCACCACAGGAAACAAATCAAGTTTATTATGGTCTTTTAAATGGAAGGAGAGTCTCAAGTTTGCTTCTTAGAAAATAAACTCTAAACACAGTATGGAGGATGTAATAGGAGAAAGGCGGCTCTGTGAACAAAGCAATGCGCTATGCACTTAATAGAATCCTCTCTTTTATTCCTTACAATAATTTTAAGATAGGTACTATGCTACCCACTTTACGGATGTGAAAACTGAAGCTCAGAAAGTATAAACAGCCTACCTAAAATCACCCTTGCAATTGACTGGGCATATTATGAGACTCTACCCATTAGAAGAGAAATCTGCTATGTGACTTACGGGAATGGAATATGCAAGGAGAAACTTATTTCTGTCCTGTGACATCTGAATATAACCCCTGGGACTGCAGCAGTCATCCTGAGACAATTACAGGAGCCAATCTAAGAGAATGAGATGAAAGTATGAGGATGACAGAGGAAATTAAAGAAAGAACCTAGGACCTTGAACATGCTGTTGAGCGGCTGAATTAACCAAACCTCAAACTTCAGATTTATATTTCAGCCTCTTTGAAATATATGTTCTGTTACTTCTGGTCCAAAACATAATATCCTAACTAATACAACCTAAGACACTAGCCATTGATGATTAGAAAAGGATTAGTGTGGGGTGCCTGGGTGGCTCCGTCTGTTAATCATCTGCCTTCAGCTCAGGTCATGATCCCACGGTTCTGGGATCGAGCCCCACATCAGGCTCCATGCCCAGTAAGAAGCTTGGTTCTCCCTCTCCTACTCCCCCTGCTTGTGTTCCTGCTCTTGCTGTTTCTCTCTCTGTCAAATAAATAAATAAAATCTTTAATTAAAAAAAAAGTGAAGGATTAGTGCTTGAGCTAAAAGCAGCTATGCAAACAGTGAATGCAAGGAGTCAAGATGGGAGAGTCCATATGTTAGGGACTCTATAATGGATCATGTCTAAGGAGACTAATGAGATCCTTTCTGGGAGAGTCGGAAGAGGTAAAATTTTCTCTCATCTCCTCAGGAGCCTTTCTCTACCAGTTAACCCATCTCTCTTCTGTATTTTCAATGTTTTCTATGGAAAGGACCTCTTTACAGGGTCACTGGGGAACCATAGTTATAAGTATTTTCTTTTGTCTTATAAGTATATTAGTATAGCTGCTGTAGAACAGGGATGCACCTCCTTAAATACCGTTTAAGTTTTTCATATTAAAGGGGCACTTGGGTGGTTCAGTAGGGTTAAGTGTCCAACTCTTGATTTTGGCTCAGGCCATGATCTCGGAGTGGTGAGATCAAGCCCTGTATCAGGCTCTGTACTCAATGGGGAGTCTGCTGGAGATCCTCTCTCTCTCCCTCTCCCTCTGCCCCTATCAACCCAACTCACATGAGTGTATGCATGTACGAGCTTTCTTTCTCTTTCAAAAAAATAAAATAAAAGATAAAAAATAAATTTTTCATATTAAAACCTAACAATACCTTTGTTAAATTCAGACTTTCTTATATATACTGCTCTAAATAGCTTTTCTCTTTCTTTTTTAAAGATTTTATTTATTGGGGTGCCTGGGTGGCTCAGTGGGTTAAGCCTCTGCCTTTGGCTCAGGTCATGATCTCAGGGTCCTGGGATCAAGCCCCGTGTAGGGCTCTCTGTTCTGTGAGGAGCCTGCTTCCCCCTTTCTCTCTGCCTGCCTACTTGTGATCTCTCTCTTTCTGTCAAATAAATAAATAATTCTTTAAAAATAATAATAATAATAATAAAGATTTTATTTATTTCTTTATTGGTGGGGGGAGGGAGAAGCAGACTTCCTGCTGTGTAGAGATCCTGGTGCAGGACTCAATCCCAGAATCCTGAGATCATGACCTGAGCCAAAGACAGATGCTTCACCAACTAAACCAACCAGGTATCCCTCTTTCATAATCAACTTACTAAAATAGTTGTCCCCAGTTCCTATTCATCAAGATACTCTTCAACCCATAGAAATTTATACTTACAATACCTCAACGGGACATTGTCTTTTATAAATGTTACAAAATAGTAATAAAATAGATTATTGATTGCTAAGTAACAATTTGCCACCAAAACCCGGTCATTTAAAACAGCAGCCACCATTTAGTATCTTTCATGATTCTGTCGGTTGACTAGGCTTGAGCAGATAATTTTTTTTCTGCATGGCATTGGCTGGAGCTGTCTCATCTGGAGGCTTTATTGGACTAGAACATACACTATGGCTCATTCACATGGCTGGCAGGTGGTATTGGCTCTTGGCTGGGAGCTCAGCTGGAAATGAGTCCTTCTTCTCATGGCTCCTCCACATGTGGGCTTCCCAGAGCATGAAAGTTGAGTTTTAAGAGGGAGTGTTTTAAGTTTGTGAAAGCAGAAGTTGTCCAGTCTCAGAAGTTAAACAATCAGACCACTCCCACATTGTATTGATCAATACAAGCCCAATAGAGCTTCAAGAGGAGGGAAATTGATTTTATTTCTTGATGGGAGAAATAGCAAAGAACTCAAAGCTATCTTTAACATACTGCTGTAATTGATGGTTTTCCTTATTGCTAAATCCAATGAAAAGAACGCATTTTTTATTTTATGTTTTTTTATTTATTCCTTGTTTTTATTTTTTTTTAACATCTCAATTCTTAAAATATTCTCTTCTTTCAACTTCCATGACAACACAGTCTTCTGGTTTTCCCGATACTTCCAGAGTTATTCTCACTTTTTTTATGATGAATCATCTTCATTTCCTTAAAGTCAAAATATTCCTATTCCTTAAGATTCCATCCTTGGTTCTATTACCACTTTATATATACTTACTGGACATTCTAATAAACTCTCAAGACTTTCATTGCTATCTACATATTAATCACTTTCAAATCTTTATCCACAGGCCCTATTGCTCACTTAAGTTTCAAACTTACGTATCCCATCTTTACTGAACGTCTCCATTTTCATTTAAATATCCTACAAGCATCATAAATTTAAAAAGTCTAAAATCGAGCTCATTGTATTTTTTCGCAAAGCTTCTATTTCAATGTTATCTTTCTCTGTGAATAGCACCATTAGTCATTTCGACTCTTTCCTTTTGCTCAACTATACATCAAGTTGCCAAGGCCAGTTAATACTATCTCCTTAATATCTTTCAAATACATTGTCTGTATCTCTTCTCCAGTGTTCTAGTACTGAACTCTAGGTCTATCTTCTACTATCATCTTTTACCTGATATATTTCAGCATTTCTATCTAGTCTTCTCACCTCCAGACTGGCCTCCCCTTTAATTTGTTTTTCACACTGGAAGCCAGAGTAGTTTCTAATGTCAACATTAGATCATGTTGTTCTCAATTTGGCAGCACATATATTAAAGTTGGAACAATACAAAAAAAGACTAACATGGCTCCTGTGCAAGGATAACTTATAAATGTGCAAAGCATTCTTTGTGTTTTCTGTGTAGATGGGCATGCAATCTATAGAGATGTAATTTACATTATAATAACAGCACAAATGAGGGGAGAGGAGTCATAGAGGAACAAAGATTTTGCATACTATTACAATTAAATTGGTATTAATTTGAACTAGATTGTTATTAATTAAGATGTTAATTGAACCCTCATAGCAACCACTAAGAAAATGATTCAAAAAATATAGTAAGAAAGGCTCCTGGGTGGCTCAGTCAGTTAAAGCACCGACTCATAGTTTCAACTCATGTCATGATCTCATGGGTGGTGAAATCGAGCCCGGAGTTGGGCTCCATGCTCAGTGGGGGGGTCCGCTTAAAGATTCTCTCCATCTGGCTCTCCCTCCTCTCTAAAATAAGTAAATTTTTAAAAATATACATTAAGAGAAATAACAAGAAAATTAAAATAGTTCACTAGAAAATATCCTTTTAAAACAAAAATAATAATGGAGAAATGATCAAAAAAAGAAAAAAAAGGCATGTAGAAAACAAATAGGAAAATGGCAAATGTAAACATGACCTTATCAGTAATCTCATTACATGAAAAGGGATTGAATTGAAGGGCAGAAATTTTCAGAACAGATTAAAACAAAACAAAGAAAACAAAAACCTCCAAACCTAATCATATGCTGTCTATAAGAGACACACTTTAGATTCAAAGGTACAAAGAAGTCAAAAGTAAAAGTATGGGAAAAGATATACCAGGTAAACAATAATCAGAAGAGACCTAAAATGGCTACTTTAATATCAGACAAAGTAGACCTTAGGATAAAAATTATTACTATAGACTAAGAAGGACACTTGATAATAATAGAGTTAATTTGCCAAAAGATATAACTATAAGCATATATATAACAAATTCATGAAACAAAAGAGAATTGAAGAGAAAAATGGTCAATTCAACAATAATAATTGGAGATTTCAATATCTCACTTTCCAAAATGATAGAACTAGACAAAAAGTCATCAAGCAGATAGAGAACTTGAACAACACTATAATTCAACTAACAAGGACCTAAAGAACTCTCCATTCAACAACTACAGAGTACACATTCTTCTCAAGTACATGTGAAACATTTACCAGAATAGGAAATATGTTAGGCCATAAAACCAGTGTCAATAAATTTCAAAAGATTAAAATCATGTGAAGTATGCTCTCCAACCACAGTGAACGAAATTAGGAATTAAAATGGAAGGAAATGAGACAAATTTACAAATGCAAATTAAACACAATCATAAATAATCACAGGGTCAAGAAACAAATCACAAAGAAATAAGAATATACTTGAGATGAGTGAACATGAAAGCACAACATGCTAAATCTTAAGGATACAGTGAAAATAGTGCCTAGAAGGAACTTTATAGATGTAATTGCCCATATTGAAAAAGAAGAAAAAAAAAATCTCAAATGAATAACCCAACATTCCACCTTAAGGAATGAGGAAAAACAAGAGTAAACTAAATATAGAGCAAGCAGGAGGGAAATAAATGAAATAGAGAATTGAGAAACAATAGAAAAAAATCAACAAAATCAAAAGTTGCTTCATTGAAAAGATTAACAAAATCGACAAATCTTTAGCTGGCCTCATTAAGCAAATAAAAAGAGAAGACTAAAATTACTAAAATCACCAACAAAAAGACATAACTACCAACTTTATGGGGTTGGGGGGCAGGTTATAAGGAGTTGTAGACTGAATACATCCCTTAAAATTCATTTACGGAAGTCCTAACACACAGTGGATGGTGTTTAAAAATGGCACCTTAGGGAGGTATTTCAGGCTAGGTTAAATCACAAGGGTGGGGTTCTCATAAGGAGATTAGTGAAATTAGAAGAAGAAAAAGATTCTCCTCTCTGTTCCCTAACCTTCTTCCCCACCCCATCCCCATCCCAGGTGCCTACACTAAGGAATGACCAAGTGAGAACAATGAGAAGGTGGCTCTCTGTAAATTAGAAAGAGAGCTCTCACGAGGAGCCAAATTAATTGGTACTTTGATCTTGGACTTCCCAACCTCCAGAACTATGAAAAATAAATTTCTATTGTTTAAGCCACTCAGTCTGTAGCATTTTAGTATGGCCACATGAGTTAACTAAGACAGATTTTTATGAGTACTGCTATAACAAATACCTAAACCCATGAAGTACCTTTTGGAACTAGACAAGCAATAGAGGCTGAAAGAGTTTGGAGGTCCATGCCAGACATATGGATATTAAGGGAGATTCTGATAAGGGCTCAGAAGGAATAGGAGTGCTGAAGAGAAAGCTCCATCTTCTTGAAAAAGACCTAAAGAATCATGAATAGAATATTGGTAGGAATTTGGGCATTAAAGGCCATTGGTGAAATCTCAGACGGAAATCAGAAACATATTATTGGAAACTGGAAGAAAAGAGGTCCTTGTTATAAAATGGCAAAGAACTTGGCTGAATTGTTTTTGTTCTAGTGTTTTGTGGAAAATAGAACTTGGATTTATGAAATTGGATATTTAGTTTAGAAGGGTGGCTCAGTGGGTTAAACCTCTGCCTTCGGCTCAGATTGTGGTCTCAGGGTCCTGAGATCGAGACCAACATTAGGCTCTCTGCTTGGTGGGGAGCCTGCTTCTACCTCTCTCTGCCTGCCTCTCTGCCTACTTGTGATCTCGCTCTCTGTCAAATAAATAAATAAAATCTTTAAAAAATGATTTTTAATACATTTTATTTTTCTTCAAAATAAAATTTTGATACACAATGTTATATTAGTTTCAGGTGTACAGCATAGCGATTGGACAAGTCTATATGTTATGCAGTGCTCTTTACAAATGCAGCTACCATCAATCAACATACAATGCTATTACAGTATCATTGACTATAGTCTCTATGCTGTGCCTTTCATCCTTATGACTTATTCATTCCATAAGTGGAAGCCTGTAATCCCACTCTCCTTCATTCATTTTGCCCATCACCCACCCTTCTCCCCTCTGGCAACCATCAATCTGTTCTCTGTATTTATGGCTGCATTTCTGCTTTTTGTTTGTTTATTCATTTTTTTTTAGATTCCATGTACAAGTGAAATAAAATGTATTTGCCTTTCTCTGACTTATTTCAGTTAGCATAATAACCTCTAGATCCATCCATGTTGTTGCAAATGGCAAGATCGCATTCTTTTTTATGGCTGGATAATATTCCATTATTTAAATATACCACTTCTTCTTTATCCATTCATCTACTGATGGGCACCTGGGTTGCTTCCATATTTTGGCTATTGTAAAGAATGTTACGGTAAATATAGGGATGCATATATCTTTTTTAATTGGTGTTTTTATTTTCTTTGGGTAAATACCCAGTGATGGAGTTACTGGATCAAATGGTATTTCCATTTTTGAGGAATCTCCATACTGTTTTCCACAGTGGCTACAGCAGTTTTCATTTCCAGCAGTGCAAGAGTGTCCTTTCTTCTCCGTGTCCTTGTCAACACTTGTTATTTCTTTTTTTTTTTAAATTTCTGTGTACGTATGAAACATCTTATGATTTTATTTTATTTTATTTTTTAAAGATTTTATTTATTCATTTGAGAGAGAGAAAGTGAGAGAGAGAATGAGAGGGGAGAAGGTCAGAGGGAGAAGCAGACTCCCCATGGAGCTTGGAGCCTGATGCGGGACTTGATTCCGGGACTCCGAGATCATGACCTGAGCTGAAGGCAGTGGCTTAACCAGCTGAGCCACCCAGGCACCCCAACACCTGTTATTTCTTGTCTTTTTTGGTTCTAGGCATTCTGACAGGTGTCAGGTGGTGATATCTCATCATGGTTTTGATTTGCATTTCCCCGATGATGAGTGATGTTGAGTAAATTTTCATGTATCTGCTGGCCATCTGATGTTTTCTGGAAAAAATGTCTATTCAAGTCCTCTGCCCATTTTAAGCTGGATTATTTGGGATTTTTTTTTTTTTTTTGGTGTTGTGTTATATATGTTCTTTATACATTTTAGATAATAATAACCCTTTATCAGATATATCATTTGCAAATATCTTCTCCTATTCGGTAGGTAGCCTTTTGTTTTGTTGATGGTTTTCTTTGCCATGTGAAAACTTTTTAGTTTGGTATAGTCCCAATAGTTAATTTTTGTTTTTGTTTCTCTTGCCTGAGGAGACATGTCTAGAAAAATGTTGCTAAGGCCAATGTCAAAGAAATTACTTGCCCATGTTTTCTTCTAGGATTTTTATGGTTTCTTGTCTCACATGTAGGTCTTTGATCCATTTTGAGTTTATTTTTGTATATGGTGTGAGAAAGTGGTCCAGTTTCATTCTTGTACATGTAGCTTTCCAGTTTTTCCAACACCATTTATGGAAGAGACTGTCTTTTCTGCATATTCTTACCTCTTTTGTCACAGATTAATTGGCCATATAATTGTGGGTTTATTTCTGAACTCTCTATTCTGTTTCATTGATTTATGTGTCTATTTTTGTGCAAGTACCACACTGTTTTGGTTTCTACAACTTTGTAGTATGTCTTGAAATCTGGAATTAGCTGAAAAGATTTCTAAGCAAAGTTTTGAAGGAGTGTTATGCTTCCTCCTGACTGCTCATATTAAAATACAAGAAAGAAATGAATTGAAGAATAAATTATTAAGCAAAAAGGAATCCGAATTTGGAGATTTGAAAAATTCTCCCCCATCCATATTACAAAAAATTAGAACACATTTATTAAAGAGAACACCATGGGTTCTGGCTGGACTATCTCTTGATAAAGGGTTTGTGGGATTATGTAAGCAGAGGTATTGCCAGTTTGAACTGAGGGAAATGGAAGTGAGACAAAACGAAGAAAGTCTGTGAGACTTTATGAAATTAACAGGACTGGAAGACCTAAAGGTGATTCAGAGATCATCAGAGCCATTGCCTTGGTTTCAACAGAGAAGATGGCCTCTGACAAAGGCCTTGGGACTGGAATCATCATGCAGAGCTCTGGGCCAGGGCTACCCTGAAGTGTCTTGGGGGCAAGACCTCTACCTGGCAATCTT